CAATATCGAAAAAAATGTTACAAGATTTTTCGTACTGTATCTTTTTTAAACCAATTTCAACGTGCATATATATTTTACATGTTTTCTGACAGACCTAACCGCGATGTTATTAAGAACGACGTTGAACGATTAGTTAAATTATTGCACGATACAAATTCTGTATATTCTTGGTATTATGGTTCCCGATTTCCGCTTTTCAAATATACATTGTTGCAACGTAGTTACGATAACATATTTCTTAGTTGCGGTGCGTTACCAAAACAATCAAATACATATCAGCGAGCATGACGTCAGCTTATACAACAGTTCGACAACGAATAGTTCTTTTTGCCTTTTCGTACTCAAGGCAACATAAATCTTTGGAACCCGGCGATTTTAGTCGCTAAGCAACTTAAGTAATACAATAACATAGAGCTTCGCAAACAGAACGCGTCGCACATTTTATTCTTTTGTCGCCATGACCAATCGCTCGCGACCTGTTTATCTAAATTGGCGTGGGACAAGCTGCGATTTTCAAGATAGCGAAGCACTTATAATATTACTAAGATATAAGAATAGGTGATGCAAAAGGATTCCTCTTTGAAAATAAATTGCCCAAGCGGATGAACGTGACACAGTTAAAGTAAATAGGAAGAGGTACAAAGAGTTATCTTTATTCAATTTGATTTTGTATTATGATCGAATCGAGCAATGGCCGACCAGTTAGAGTTTCCTTTTGAGTCCATCTATTTTGAAATTAATATCGTGAACGTTTTACCAGGCTTGCCTGCTACAAGTCATGTGACTGAGCGTAATTGCTGTGGACAGGAAAATCAATACGGCCATTGTTAGAAGACAATATATCACTAAGAGGATGCCTAAGCTGAGGGTGACAACCAAGTTCATACATTGTATACCATAAATTGTCAATCACTATACCGGGTAAATTAATACCGCCTTTGTTCTATGGTCAGACATTGTTTGTATAATAACTTTATCTTGCTTTTTTGACTAACAGTCTGTAAAACAAAATCTTCGTATAAAACACGGTGTCATCTCTGTTTTGTCACAGATAATGAGAGTTATGACGATATGTTTTATACAGAGATGGTAACCAGTCAGTAACCCACGGTGAACAGACTAAAATCTAACTTATAAAAGCTGTGTTATTCTCTCATTTTATAGCGATACGCGAAAAAACAATATTTTTTTTCAAGCGAAAGTCAATGACAACTTTAGCGACGGTACGTGAATATTATTTAAAAAGTTGTTTATACCAATTACTATCATTGCCGATATTAATATTACTAAGAGCAATGTGGCACGCCATTCATGTAGATAAGTTGCAAACGTTTACTGTAATTCGTACTGATCGAACATTTCCAATTTGCGTGAGTGATGTTGGCTATCGATCGATTGTGACGTTGATTAATTTTCATGTAAAACGTTTGCGACTATTAAGTGGACGTTTATAGCAACGCAATATTCATGACAAGAATTTTGTATGAGCTCAGCTGGTCATTTCCCATGCTACTTGTTTGACTTGAAGGCAGATGTCTTTTTTCCCAGCGGTATTGTGAAAAATTAGATTTAAATTACTTCTTGTCTGTCCTAATTGTATACTTATCTATATAATTATTAAAAATGTCCACCAAAATGTTATTTAATTTTCTAATTATAGCTTTCTCTGTTTATTTTTTGTGGAAAAAAAGCATCTATAAATTGGTCAAACTCAGGATAGGATATTTTTTTATTTCAATTATTGATTTTCCACGTGAACGGAGACGGAGACAGCTTGTGTTCTTATAAATTTCCACAAGGTTTTAGCTCCTGGTTTAAAATACAAATTGACATAAGCATTCAAGGGTTTATTTTACATACTAGTTTATATACTAGGTTTGTTTATGGAAATGTACCTTCCATGTTCTCTATCATTAGAAAACAGATCTATTCACGGCTAACGTAAATACACGGTGCAAACAATGATTTCACAATTAAGGTCGTATAACAGCTCTACGCCGGAGTTTCCTGACCACATTTGGTCAATGTTTGAGGCTGACATTTCATTTCGTCGCCTGTCGCATCGTTCATTTGCATTCTACGACCGCAACATTTAATTTCCCGTAAACGCTATTTCCAATACAGAGAGAAGGGAAAATAAAATCTTCAAATAGTTTTTGAAAAAAATATGGTCAGATAGAGAAATTAATAAATCAATTTGAAATTATAGACAGCACTGAAATACATAATTTAATACTCGTAATTAAAAATAAACATCTAAATGAAATGTGTACACCAAGAAGCTCAGAGCCTACCCATGTTAGGGACGAAGGCCATAGTCAACGCTGGTCCAGTACGGGTCGGTTGACTTGAGACATGTTTGAATTTCTTCGCAAATATGTAGGACAACTTACATCACGCTTTCCGGAATAAATGAAATAAAGACGAGGCGACTACTACGACTATATTGCTATAATAAAGGCTATAGTCAACTTATGTAGGTAACCATTTTAATGCTTAAGATTATAGTCGTGTAATTCTAATTTATCGCATTTAACAGTAGATACTTTGACGAATGAACTGTAATACCCTCGTGTAATGACTGGAAACCTATGATGTGCAGAGCCGTAAAATAAGTTTGCCTGCTGTGTGACAGAAAAAACAAAAGAGTCATAGACTAAAGGATGACTGAGAACAAACAAGCTTTTATGATAACTTTTTTTACTTAAGTAGTCCTATTACATACTTTATAATGTACTTAGATGTTAACAGATATTCTGAAAATTAAAATTACATGAGACAGTATAAAATGTCTTTGTAGAAATAATATAATAGTGGCCATAGCTTACATACTTTTAGGGTCGCATGCACTTCGTTTATTGAATGTTTTGTTCTTTGACTTTTAAGAGACAGGACATTTCAAGCGCGTGCATTCTTCTCTGTTTTATGAAAACGTACAATTGGTTCTAAACTTGGTTGACTGTTTGTTCGTTTTGTGAATAAAGAATTTTGATTAAATATGCGTTTATAGACGTTTCAATTAAAAGTTTTAGCATAATCTGCACATTTGTGATTATCAAGGTTATCTCATCCCCGTTGAAAGTGGCAGTATTTATGTATTTAGTATAACGACGTCTGTTTGCTACTCCATTTCTGTATAGTCTAAGGTTTTCTTTGAAAAACACACTGAAAGGCACTCGACGTCCAATATCGTAATGGAGCGTTCTGTAAATGGAACTTGAACCGGAACGTAGTTGTAGGTTTATTTTATTTTTCCACGAGTTTGCAATTTATCCACATTGTATTCGGATTAACAGCTTGGATTTTTTTTTAATTCACCAGCACTTTTATACGTGACATTTGACCATGGAGACTAGCAATTCAAAGTTTTTTCTTCATCTACTTTAAAAATATGGAGCTCTTTTATTTCTTTTGAACATTACTCACTATGGAGTTCAAATTATTTTTTCTAAAATTTGTTTTTAAATCCAAGAGCCACTTTTTGATTAACAATATTCTAGCACTGGCTGTCTAATTTATAATGGTTACAAAGAATATGAGTATACCTTACAACAATAGTAATAAATAATGTTATAATTGCTTGATTGTATGGATAGATGGATGTCTGTTAGAAGGTATCTGCATAATGGCACAACGGATCTCGATGAACATAGTCCGAAAGGATACATAGGCCACTAAGTTTTTTTTTAGATTCACACGGATGGGTTCGCGGGCAACAGCGTGTATAATATTGTATAAAAAAGTTAAATTTATGTATAGCATCTTGTTTTTCTAGTCATTGTACCAATCGCTTAATTGTATAGAAGCATTTTCTTTTTTATTTATTAAAAATGTTAAACTAAAAAAATGTTGTATTTTAATTTTATGTTTTAATTATTACTTGATATTTTTTTTAATATTTTGAATTATCTAATATAATGGTTGTTCTATAATTGTATGAGGTTTTAAAGATGTGCAATTTCATGTGATACAGGTTCATCATACTTGCTTTTTTACTGTGTTACTAATATTATAATTTTCAAGTAACTATTCACAGGGGTGTCAATGTGGCCATGCCATCAAAGTCGGTTTGTTATAGATTCCTAACAGCTATCACAGCCAGCTTTGATGAGCATGGCCCATTTGCTTTGCTACAGCGTCTCGCCAGCCGAAACAAACATCAGCAGAGTCCACATTTCACCACACACTACAAGTTGAAAGTTTCTCGGGCCTAGCCTGTCAAAGCGGCGGTGAGATGTCATTTAGTCTCATATCACAGCCACTTTGATGTGGTCGGTTTACGGAGACAATTGCTTCACTTCAATTCATCGATCACACTTCTCAATTTTACAAAGGAAACGACAATTTACTACAAGGATCCGTGGCCCATTCGTAAAAATGGTTGTGCCATGTTATTTATTCATATCACAGCCATTTTTGACGAGTTGGGCTGTGGGATATTTCATCTTAAATGGGTGCACAATACAGAACAACACAGGGAAGAGAACATAGAAGAACATGAAATAAATTTGGTTATTGGGAACGACATGGTCACCCTGTCGCTCACAAAGTGGTTGAGATGTGCTTGTTATGTATCATATCACAGCCAGCTTTGATGAGCGACAGGTGATCGGAGACACGTTGCCGTTAGCTTTACGACAGGCTCTAAAGGAAGACGACATTATTTTTGGTTCAAGAGACATAGCAATTAGTGAAACGGCAAAGTGGCCGTGAAATGCTGTTCCGTGACATATCACAGCCAGCTTTGTTGACTCACTAAGTGCTAAACTCATCCTAAAACTACATTTTTTACCGCGTTTATTTTTTTTTTCGTCATATTTAAGAATGTCACACATCATAGTATCATTTAAAATCGCCTATTATAGATGTAAGATTTTTGTTTTTTATTTTACTAATTTATTGCTAAAATCAATAAGTATTAATATTTTTTTTTCTTAAACTGCATGTTGATGTCTTCTATTTGGCAATTCGAAAGTTTTAACTCTGCTTTTATTTTCTAGGCAGACGAGGAGAAATCAATCATCGGGTTCAACGTAAAATGAAGCAGTTATGTTTGTATAAATATTAATTTATAAATAAAAATCAATATGAAAAAAACATGAATCTGTATTTTATTAAAAATAAAATTATTATTGTAACTAACCTAAACAAAGTGGCTAACGAACAAACAGCCACCTGACGTCACCAAAATGCGACCACTAAGCTGTGAAGTAGACGGGGCTTATAGACAAATATAACAAAACTCATCGTGGGTAGCGACCAGAAAGAAAAGTTTAATTACATAAGGCATCTTAGATTTTTTTTTGTCCTAACCTCTGTCAGCTTCAACTTTATCGATTATAAGAAGTTACTGCATGTATAAAAACAATTTTAAAAAATCGTGAATGTATTCATATCAAAGCCATAGACAAACTACAGTTTACGCCAACAGTGAAATCGCCATAATAGAGAAGTAATCGTTGCACATAAACATAATTATTTACGTATCAGATGCGTTCCTTTAATCGACAGAGACCCAGAAAGGAGATACTGCGTCGTAAGAGTTAAAAGAAATATTGTAGAAAATCTGGTTGGATGTTTGCTAGAACGTATTTCATGCTACATGGATCTGGATTAGGTAAAGATGTAGATCACTGTCTGTAAGAACCCATATACTAGTTTTTTATACAAGTTTTTAGGAACATAATTATGACGATTTTCTAGGAAAGAATTTAAATAAAAGCCAAATATACCTAAACTAATTTATTCGAAGTAAAAACTAAAACTATACCCAAAAAAATAAACAAAAAAAAAATTAAAAACACAAAATAGATACCATAAAAATATTTAAAGAAGATTATTTTTTTTTATTATTTTTTTTTTATTTTTTTTATATTTTTTTTTATTTTTTTTATATAAAATGTACTATATTAAATATGATAAATAAATGTATATGGGATTATTGAAGATTCGATTCGTAATTTTCAAAAAGCATCAATCATTTACACAATGAAAACTTACTGTATTATATGAATATAACAATTTGTTTTATATGTATGAAATACATTTATAAAACAAGTAAATAAAAAATAACATCGCTTTTATGAGCAGCACTTTGTTTACATGAATATATTTTATATGTATATTAATTAAATAAATCGATTTTATAAAAATCACTTTTTTAACAAGAATATATAATTTTGTAAAAATGTTGTACTTATTTATACATTCGAAGATAGACGAGAAAACTATAAAAGAGAGTCGTAAATATATTTTTGTATGTGGAACTCTATGAGTGAGATTGCTTGATTAAACATTTTACAATTATGAATTTCGATGTGGTCAAAATATCCTTTAAGGCTACGTACCGCCACAAAAACCTAATTTGAAATATCCTTATGATTTAACTTTAACATTAAATATAATAAATTGTATTATCTGTGTAAATATGTAACAAGAAAGTTCTTTTGTATGGCACTTATTAGCAAATCTGTACTTCAAACATAACATACCCTAACATAGTTATAACTCTGGTTAACACATCACGTTTATTCAATGGGCTTTTGCTACCACTAGTCTAAGGGCCGCTACACACGGATAAGATACAAGATATATATCTTACAAATATATATATATATCTTATAATAATGGTGTAATGGTTTACACAAGACGAAGATAATATATTTTGTATGGTAATATAGAGAGCGATATGAATAATTATCGTAACATAATATATTAAGTTGTTAAATATATCTTACCTTATCGGTTCAACTCAGGATATGCGGACGTGACTAAAGCTTAATATATGTTTATCGTATCTTCGCAGTTTGTGATGAATTAATATAAATGTCGATCCCGTTCGAGGCGCTAGCTACGTAACCTAAATTAACCCTTAAATGGACAATGTTGTTTTTAAACAACATACTAAACATCACAGATAAAATTATCTTTATTTTATTTTTTTGTTAATTTTGACAACTAGTTCTTATTTCTGAACGAATTTTGTACTTCATGTCTAGATTTTTTTACTCATTTTTCATAGACAGTAATACATGTCTATTACACAAATATATTTTTTAAAACGTAAAAAAAAATCGTCCATTTAAGGGTTAACAATTCTTATGTCTTTATAAAAATAAGTACATTTTCTAAGTACCAGAACAATGAAATAAAATGACTAATAATTTTAGCAATAACTAAAATGTAAACAATTCATATTCTGTGATCAACATTCAAAGAGTAGCCAACTTAACTCATCTCCCTCCGATAAATACTAATTTAAAATTTTAATATAAAATACTATATCTTATCCGTGGTAGCGAGCTTTATATATTTGTTTTGCATAATAATGTGGAAAAGGATCTAGCGACCACCTAAATTCGCCGAAATAGCGAAGCGACCGATGTTCATACAAGTCCGTGATTGCAAATGCGTTTTCTACCTTTAATCGACGAATAGGGGGGACGCACAGACAGTGGATATTTCCCCTATGCGTCCCCACTTCCGTTAAATCCCCTCCTTCCCATCCTTATAAGAAAAGGGTGGGAAGTGAAAGGGGACTTAAATTAGACCTCGGGTTCTCACGTTTATCGGTTAAAACACGAAATTGCTTCCACTTGACGGCCCTTACTTGTTATTATCAAATGTTATTGTTGCTGACATCTCGCACATTTGAATATACATATGTGTATATAAATATAATATATATAACAATATATCTCGACCCAGCCGTAATCAATGCATTTTGTAGCGGATTGTTTATGTTTTTCTTACGTTGTGACAAGTATTCATCAAAATAAATCACAATTTTCCCTTATCAGACCATAAATATATCGAAGTTAAGTAAAAACAAATAAATTTAACGTCGTTCCGCGATATCAGCTCTACACACAGGGCACACCAAGATTTTCATCGAGCAGGCATGACAAAGTGTACTGAAAGTAATCAAAACAATAATTATATAGATTCTGCGAAATCGTCACGTTTATTCTGTACACAATAATATCTCATCTATAATCTTACTAATATTATAAATGCGAATATTTGCATGGATGGATGTTTCTTAGAAGATATCTCCTGAACTGCTGCACAAATCTCATTAAGAAGAGTCTAGAAGAACACAGGCTACAAATTAAGTTTTTTTTTATCCTGCGCAGACGTAGTCGCGAGTGACACGCTGGAAGGTTATACAATGTCTTCGACCACCTCTAAATACTTGTGAGATATATTTTGATGTTGCTATCAACAAACTTTAAATTAATACTTTTGTCGTTGCAGTAACTTATAACATTGTTAGATACAAGATTAAACATTTTAATTGCTGTCCCACCTACATTCAATGCCACAAGATTTTTATTTATGTACTGAAGCGTAGTAGTAGCAGTCTGGTAGCCATCTCGGTAGCAATGAACGTGTTAAATAAGTCTCAAATAAAAATACACGTCATATTTAGAGAGTTCTTCTGTAAAAATATGATTGTAAATGAAGTGGTGAAGGTGAAGCGGTGAAGGTAAAAGAATGGTGGGGAGGACTCACCGATGACCGCAGGGGTGCAGCGTGACGTCAGCGACGAGGTCGCAGCAGATGTCGCACGCGTCCTCGCTCGCGTTGTACGTCGCCTGCTGCTGCTGCATCGCGTGCCTCGGCATCCCGTAGATCTGTCGCACCACCTCGTGTTAATATACACAGTACACCTCACACCACCTCAATCAATACGCATATTACCATCCTCTGCTGAGGCGTCAGGTGACCGACAGTGTTGAGGGCGTCGAAGCGAGAACCCACCGGCGCGCTGCGGAACCGCACCTGCCCGAAGTTTACCTCGCACTGTTGGAAGGCCGTCATTGTAATGGCCGGGAAGTATTTCTTCGGTGTGCTGAAATAAATATATCAAAATGTATGGCATCGTTTAAATTACTGTAGCTGTTGTGTCTTTAAACTTAAAGAAAATGTACGAAAATATTAAATAAAAAAACTTATTCACAAGAAAAACTCACTTCGAGGGAGAAAAGAAGTCAAAGCAAGTTATTGAAGACTCTGCGCCATGCAGAAAGAAGGAGATCGTCTTTTCTGAACTATCGAGGAGGCATCCTAAAACATCATCCGCCCTCCACCTTGTCAGGGAAATGCCATAGGCTTTACCATGATACCAAAATGTCATCTTGTTGCCTTCGTATCCCAATGAACGTTCTTCATCTCCAACTGATATTTCCTGTGAAATGATAACAAAAAATACAAGTCAAAAACGACATAGTATTTATATTTTAATAACATTATAAATAAGAATGTATGGATAGATGAATGGATGGATGTTTGTTAGAAGATATCTCGTTGAAATTTGGCATAAATGTAGAACATAGCCTGAAAGAAAACACAGGCTACAAATTTTTTTCATGAAAAAATATATCGTGCAGACGAAGTCGCCGGCGACAGCTAGTCATAAAATAGATTTAATGTAGCAATTGTAATGTCTAGTTGACCAGTACACAAACCTACCTCCTGCTTACTGACCTCACGCAATCAGCTGTCCCAAATGCCCGACTCCTATGCTAAGAAAAAGATTTGGGCCCTAAATTTAAAAAAATTAAAATAAGATGTTCAATAAACCATTTTGCATGCAATTATCATTGGTTCCTTAGACCAAAATCTCTGTATTCTCTCATTATCTTTGACAAAACATTGGTAACAATAAGATTATACATTATTTTTGGTCTCAGAAACCAATGATAACATATTTATTTGATATTATTTTTACTTCAAAGAAAATATAAAAGTCATAGTAACCGTGTTAGCGCCGGTACTTCCCCAACCAACTGTTATGGAGCCGTCGGTGATCAGCTTGACCTCGTAAAACCATAAACCTCCATCCACCTCAGAGGTCCCGTGAAGTGTTTGAGGACAAATGGTATCATTTCGAATTTCCATGAGATCAGGCGAGTACTTAATATAAATATTTCCACTTTCATTTTTAAACATGCAATTTACTGCTGATAGGTCTACAGTATCGTAGGATAATTGTCTGCCTGGTTTTGGAACTGTAAATAAAACATTAACATTTAATTTATGTATAGAATACATTATATGGTAAATGGTTGAGTCCTCTTCAGTGCAGCGGTGATGCAGAGAACCATCTCTCAACACAAGTTAAGTTTAAATGGAATGATTATAACAGATATAAACATAAATAAAAAGCCAACCTTATTTATCACTAAATATCATAAAACTCTCATATTGAAATAAAAGTATTTCTCAACATAAAAGTAAGATTAAGTACTTACAGATATTATCCAATGCCCATCTGGCGCAATATCCAACCTCACGGCGAATTTCTTCCCCAGCGATATTCGTTAAGTACTTCTCCAAACCTGATAAATGATTACTGTTCAGCAGTTCCAGTCTTTGCACTATCATCGTCTTGTTCTCTCTAATGACAGAGAATTTTTCAAGAGCCAGTAGAGCCCTCATCTGTAGCTCCAGGTCATTGTGATATCTGCTGTTTATCTATAAAAGAAATTCATTAACATAATTATATTAATATTCTAATATTGCACATTTATTGGCGGAGAGAAACCGAAAAAGTAACCCATATATTCTGCATGATCATAGTATTGTATGATATAAGCGGCCGTTTATGTGGCAGCTATGTACTGCATTAAGTATAAAATATATTATTTTCTTATTATATTGTAGTTTGTAAAAACATAATTTAGTACTTACAAAAATGTGGCATAAGTAGCTGCACACATTGTCCGTGAATATTACTGTACTGTTTGTGCCAACTAATTTCTCCGCTAAGCAGTTGAGCACAATGCAGATATTCTTCTCAACTCTAACGGGGATGCTGGCCGCCACCGCGCGGCGTTGAGACAGATGGAATCTGTCATTCAGCAGCTGAAACCATTACATTTTAAATTTTTGTTCAACCTAATAATATATAATATGTTAATAGATATAATATCATACCGTGCTAACTGTGTACGCATTGGGACTCGGTATGTTGCGTATAATAAGTGCAATCACTACTTTTGTGTAAGGACAAGTGGGCATAGCGTCCATCAGAATGCTGGCTACAGTCAGCCAGTTTGTTTCAATCAAAGAAATGTGCACAATGTATCTTACCATCAAGTCTAATTCTTGAGGCCTAAAATTAAAAAAACAAAAAATTAGCTACATTTCAAATACGTAAAGTAATTAAAAACAATTATGAAGTCTTTTCATCTTATTGTTCATGTCTACGGGGAGCAGTGGCTGCGCTATTTTATACAAAAATTACAAAGTGGCTGCTTGCTCGTACTATGTTGCTATGGTGAGTATGAAAAAATCAGAAAAATCATTTTATTCGCAGGTTCATTCAACATCCAATACTTCTTTTCTACAGGTACAGCTTTATCAATAAGTATATTTTATACACATTTAAAAATCATGTGCAATACAGTATTGTAAATACAACTTTTATGCCAACTGACAATCAATCTGCTGTTGAAGTTTGAGATTAATAATAAATATTATAGTTAACATTAAGCACATTAAGCAACCTCTTGTTTGTTTCCACCCTTATCTCACAAAATATAAGAAATATAAACAATCTGTTTATATACATACTTATTATGCACATAAGGCATCAAAAATGTTCAAATGTGGAGTAATTTTGGTAAATAACCATGAATGCATACATGAATAATACTCACACTGTATTATATGGCCTTAGCTTTCGTAACATTTGAAAAATTACATTCCTTATGTAGCGCCGTTCCCAAATACCATTTGGTCTTTTCCTCCGCAGATACTCATAGTCGTTTAAATGGTTCATTAAGTTATGCATTCTGTAAAAAACATAGTTTGTTGATAATTTTACCTTACCAGTTCACCTGGAAAGAGCTTTGATATTCATCATCATTCATCATACAAATCATAAGCACATTCCTTTACTAGTACTACCAGTTATGTAAAAAGTATTAATCAAGCAATGTATTATATTACCCATTGCAGAATCTTATATAAATAATGTGATAAGTGTTGATCTTTGACATTTTACTTATTAAATTGAGAGAAAAAAATTATATTTTTATATTTCTTTGCCAATTATCAAAAGTTAGGCCGCCATGGTGGTTGTTTTACATCTATGCCAAATTTCAGAAAGATCCATGTAGCTGTTCTGGAGATATCATCTAACAAACATCCATCCATCTTTACATCCATAAATCCAAACATTCACATTTATAATGGTAGTAAGACTAAAAGATATTAAATGGGTAAAATTAATAGATGGAAATTCAAAATTAAATAAAAATTAATTAATATAAGACAGTAATACATGAATTATCAAATAAACATACAACAATAAAAGATATAAAAATAAACCCCAAAAACGATCTAATCACTTGTCTTTTTTTTGTTCATAAATTGATAATACATATTAATGTAATATATCTTTATTATAAGTAATTTGTTATAGTATTAAAAATGTACAACATTGCACAATATTAATAATAAAAAAAATTCTTTAGTGATAAAACAATTACATCATTATTTAAAATGAAACAATTTGTCCAATTCGAAAAAAAATGGCATTAAAAGTGGAATATGCGCAGTGCCAACGAATGTACTAGAAGAATGGGGCCTAGATTCAATGGCGACAAAAGTGAATTAATGCCGGAACTCCGCATCGCATTAAAAGAGGAAAAAGATCTAGGCACTTTATCTTTTGAAGTTCTGCCGGCTTTCAACGTAGGTAAAATTTAAGATATAATTGGTGAAAATTTAGACAGAGAAATTTAGACTGCCTATGCGAAAAAGTTGAATAACATTATAGAAGAATCTTCTAACAATTTTTAGGAGAATTACAACTAAAGAAATTGAAAATATGAAAGAATAACACTCATCACAATACTCAATTTAAATCGTTAATATTAATAATCAGGCGATCATTTACATTACATTTTTTGTTCATTCTTTAGTTTCATATGTAATATACATTTTAATAAAACGGAAATTATTATCAACTTAAAAACAAATTTAGTGAAAAATGAAACACCTCACCTGTACTTGCTGCTATTACCTGCTCGGGTTTTGAAAATTTTTAAATTGAAAACTAAAGTTCGAGAACAATCTTACTTTGGCGCCGGCGGTGCTAGAGGCAGTCGCAAAATGTGTGAATTTTGAACTAACCAAAGAGAACGCATAGTTAGTACGTACCAGTACGTACCACATACTACGTAGTACGACGAATACTCTAGAACAGTGTTTCTCAAAGTGGGCGACAACGCCCCCTTGTGGGCGCTGCAGGTCTCAAGTTGTGGGTTAAAGTAAAAGTTTCGTTTAGAATTCTCCGTTAATATACATATATAGGTCACAATAATTAATTCATTTAATTTGAAGTTATAGTGGTTTTTAAATATGTGAAAATATTCTTCTTCTTCTTCTAGCTCTGGGTCTTGGCTTGGTCCACCAACTTGATGTGAAAATATGGGGGCGCTAAAAAAATATTTATTCTCAAAGTGGGCAGTAGACAAAATAAGCTTGGGAACCACTGCTCTAGAAACTAACCACAGAGAACTAAAGACGCAATTCGCCGTCATCGATCATGTAAGCGAGTGATTCATCGTTGGTTTTTGAGACATGTTTAAAACATATCGATATCGTCATCGCTATCATTATCTTTGTAAAAACAGAGATAACGAAATTTCTGATACAAGGCTTTTGGTCTTAGAAATCAACGAATAGTCAAACAACGATATCTGAACCGGTGAGAGAGGCGCTACTATTATTTGGTCTTCAGTTATAAATGCAAATAAATAAATAAAAACGAATAAAAATCAAGCTTTTTTATAATTAATTCTGGAATATAGACAAACAACTTTAATACACACAAAAATTATTAGAAAACTTTAATAATTATATCGTCATAAAACGTATAAACTACATATATAAATAAGTAAGATCGTCTTAACATCCCAAACAAACAAGTAATTTTGTAAAGTTCATGTACAATGGTTCTGTCAACACTGAAATGAATCGGATTGTTATTCATTATCATTATTCAACATAAATCAGATGAATCAGGTTGTACTGAAATGGACCAATTTTCATATTGAAAGTGCTCCACCATCCCAGGTACTCGACAGGAACGGTTATTGGTGGCAAAACATTCCAGTGTAGGTTAGGTATACATTATTGAATATCTGCAGCCTAGATTCGATGACTGATTACTCTGGCAATTCCTGCTTCCTGTGGGCATCTTTTATACTCTATACTCTTTGATGGGTGGTGGGCAACCTGTGGGCAACACTATAAGTCGATTTACCTGCTACTAAAATGGCAGAAGGAGGAATATAAACGTCGGAAATATTAGGAAATATCTGAAATATTAAAATACTAGGATGTTAATTTTTCTTCTTATTATTTTCTTTGTCGATAGTAAATTTTATAATCAACATAAGTGCCAAAATTTCATATAATTGCATTTTATTCGATTCGTTTTAAAGAGCTTAAAATGGCGAGACTTAATAATTCTTTCTTATGGGGTATATTATTTGCTTCAATAACTTGGACCATCTCTTTGTATTTATACTGGTTGTTGAATTTAAGTGGTAAGTGAGTTCCTTTTACATCTAACAGAATGTAACGGTATAAAATATAGTTGAGTGTTCAATAGAAATCGATGTTCTTTTATTAATTTCGCTTTTATTTGCTTTAATCAAAAATTTAAACGCACCATTACGCGCTTTCTATTTTTAAGTTCACTTTTTTTTTTAAAGTTGTAAATGGTTTATTATGTGATTTATTTTAGGCGATTCTATTAAGATTGATCAGGAAAATAAAATGCATTATCACTTAGTTAATTCAGCAGAAAAGGACCGAATTAAAAACAATGATAAGTCAATTGCAGAGTTAGAAGGGAAAAATATGCTATATGATAGCCCTATAGCCAATAATAAATACATGGGTAAGATGTGGAAATATCAAAAGAACAACTCAGATTACAAAAAAAAACGTATGCAAAAAGAAAGATTTTCTAAACAACTGGGAATCAAGATGGCTGCTAAACCTGACAAAAGCTTAGGTGAGAAGGGCTATCATCTTAAAAAAAACATATTGGGTTATTTGATGTAAATAACTTACCTCTCTCAATTATATTATCAAACCTAAGTACAGTTAGACCAAAATTTACGGATTTTTTCAGTTTCTTTTAAGTCTTAGTGGTGGTATTGAGTTTTTTTTTATAAACTTAAAAATAATTTGGAATATTTATCAATTCATTTTAAATTAGTTGATGAAGAAGATTTTGATTTATGTAGATAACCCAGAATATGTTTATTACCTTTATTTTTGTATATTTGTACATTGTGTATTGTGAAATAATTAGACATGGGGAACTCAACTAAAATTGATGACCTGCAGATCAGCTCACACCTCACATGTGTGAAATAGATGAGTAAACTGTCTCGCAGCTCAATTTATACCTGATAGAGTTGTTGCATTTCAGATGAAAGAAGATTGCATGTAGCTGAAATGTGTTTGCTAAGATGGTTGTGTGTTGTAATGAGAAAGAATAAACTTAAGAATGTGTATATGACAGGGAGTTTTAAAGAACCACCTGTGATTGAGTAATTGTGGAGCAAAAGGTTTGTGTGTTTTGGACACATTATTCGAAGGGATGAAGTTGATATAAGCAAAAAAGTAATGATTTTGAATGTGGATGGCTACAGAAGAGTTAAAGGTAGAAGAATACAGAAGGCAGCATGGATGGTATTGTGTGAAAGAGACAACGGCTTTTACTTTAGAGATGACATGATTTAGATATGACGGCTGATAGAGATGTAGGATGTGGAGGAGCAGTACATACTGTGGCAACCCTCTGTAGGGATAGGGGCCGGTTGATGATGAGAGTTTCAAGCGTTTCAAGGTGCAAATTGCTAATCACCAGGGAACTCGCAGCTCATTCACTTGTATACATAAGTACATCATGATGAGCGGTGAGCTGCTAATTTTACTGTTGAACCACAGCTCAATGATTCAATTTTATGTGAGCTGAACTTTTGAACTGGTTTAGAGCAGATTTAGATAGCAAGAACTAATTGTAGAATTAGATATTTAGTATTCAAAGCAAGTAAGTTTACATAATAAATGCATCATGTGAGTAATTTTAGCAGTAATTTTATTTGTAGTTAGAAAGTTATATAGATTAGCGGTTATTCATTTAATTTTATTTATCATTGTATTAATTTCAAATTGGATTTTGCTATAGACTATAATTGTTAAAAGTTGCTATTTTTGCTTCAATAAATGCATGAAACTAATACTAATTCATACTTTGAAAATTTACCTCCATATTTTTAACTCATGTCAATGTTTTAAATATATTTTACAGAAAATCAGTTTGGACTCATTAGAAATGCTGAAGATTTGCGAATTAGGGAACAGGGTTACAATTTGCATGCTTTTAATGCACTCATCTCTCAGAGGATTGGTAATCACAGGACTATTCCTGACACCAGGGACAAAATGTATGTATAGTAAAAATCACACCTAAAAGCTATATCCATAATGTTATTATTGTGTAAGTTGCACATCTATTTCATAATAATAATATGTTTAAAATATGTAATGTTATAACACAGGTGCCGGAATAAACACTACAGGAGGAAATTGCCTAAGACTTCAATAATTATCTGCTTTTATAATGAACATTTTGAAACCCTAATGAGATCTATTCATTCAATATTGGACCGCACAGATGCAAAGGATTTGAAGGAGATAATTTTAGTAGATGACTACAGTGATTTGGATGGATTACATGAAAGTGTTATGAATGCTGTAAATGATCTTAACAGTATGATGAGAAAGGAAGAGGAAATGTTGGATACGAATAAAATTCAAGTTGAGAAGTGGTTAGTGGACTACATAAATGATGACAATAGTAACAACATTGATAAAAAGCCTGCACAGAAAATTTCAAGGGCTAGAACTGGTATTAACATACGGCTATTGAGGACAAGTAAGAGAGAAGGTTTAATCCGGGCGAGGTTGTATGGAGCTGATAATGCTGTAGGCGAGGTAAATATTAGAATTTGGAATACATTAAACTTTTTCTTCCCTTAGATAGTAAAGGCAGTCTTGTGTTAACTCACATGTTTGTATGTCAATTTCTTTGAATGCTATCAAAACAATCATGCATATTTTGGACATAATTTGGTTATACTATGTGACTGAAATGTTGTTTTTCTCAGGTATTGGTGTTCCTCGATTCTCACATAGAGGTCAATGTGAATTGGCTGCCGCCGATGTTGTCACGTCTGGCGGAAGGTGTAGATGGTGTCAATGTGCGGTTTTCACATCGGGCCGTAGCTCCCATAATAGATGTCATCAATGCTGACACATTCGAATATACTTCTAGTCCTTTAGTGAGAGGTGGTTTTAACTGGGGACTGCATTTTAAATGGGATAATTTACCCAGAGGAACTTTGAAAAGTAAGCTATTCATTAAATTATTTATACCACACTGATGATGTCATACTTGAGTAGGGGTAAAGTATTATCTAAATGAATTCCCGAATTTCTTTCTTTGTCTTAAGATATTAGTTTATTTTTGTCAATATTTCAGTATTGGAGTATCTTTACCAAACAAATGAAAGGAATTAATCTAAATTTTATTAATCGATTTTATTTGTTTACAGACCTTGAAGATTTTGTGAAGCCAATCAAATCTCCCACCATGGCAGGTGGTCTGTTTGCAATTTATCGTGAATACTTTATCTATATTGGCACATACGACGCTGGTATGAATGTGTGGGGTGGCGAGAATTTGGAGATATCTTTTAGGGTATGTATATTAATGCTGTTTTCTGAATGTTAATGTAATTTAAAGAACAAATCAATATATTTTAAACTGTATAATCACTGCATATCGGTAGGTCTAAATCCCACGACTAAGACATTCATCACCTTTGCCTTTAATTACTTTCAGATTTGGATGTGCGGTGGTACTTTGGAGCTGATACCTTGTAGTCGAGTTGGCCACGTGTTCCGTAAACGAAGACCTTATGGTATGAGTGAGAAAGAAGATTTTATGGTGCGTAACTCAATGCGCATGGCCCGTGTATGGATGGATGAGTTTGTGGTAAGTGTGGATAGGTTTATTTTAAAGAAGTTTATTTTTTTTAGTTCTCATGGTTTATATGTTAGTTTTTTATCACGTGATTAATATTTTCATATCTTATGTTTTCTGCATTGTCCATTCTTTTCAAATTTCTGATAAGTCTTTCCTTTACCATTTGTTGTATATGGTTATTTACTTCTTCCTTTATTGTATTTCTGTGATTGTGATAGAACCTATCCTATATATGTTCTCAGTTAGTCTTTATGGTTTATCTACCAAAATAAACATTGTAAATTTTGGATAGTAACTCTAGTTAATAAATCTATACTTATATTGTTTTCCAGAAAAAAGTGATTGAGATTAACCCATCGGCAGCTAATGTTGATATTGGGGATATATCGGAGAGGCAAGCTTTGAGGAAACGTCTGAAGTGTAAGACATTCAGATGGTATCTGGAGAATATCTACCCTGAATTAGACACGGGTGAAGAATCTATTCTTAGGAAACGTATGGCTTCTCTAAATGATCCTGAGAAGAATCGATTCCAGCCGTGGCATTCTAGGTTATTTTTTAAAAATAAATATTTTATGATTTCAAACTGTCAACTTTTTCAATACCGAAACACCTATAATGTACTGATTTTTTAAAAGATATTCAAAGGGGAATGACTTTGTTTCTGGTTATGTGTTTAGACAGCAGAAAGATAATTTTATTTCAGTGAAGTTGTTAGATACATCAAATTACTAAAATACTATATAATTAGAATATTTACTTTGTTTTTAGGAAGCGAAACTACACGGATTCCTTCCAAATTCGTCTTAAAGGATCGACCTTATGTGTCCAAAGTGCTAAAGACATCAAGACTAAGGGCAGCCGATTGGTGCTTGCTAAGTGCATGAGGGGTATACACCAGGTAAGTTAAGAATAATTATACTTATATCCAAGCTATGAATACATAGAATTACATACAAAATTTCTGCATTTGTTAAATTATCATAACTTAAAAATTACATCGGCAACTTTGAATATGAAAACTCACCAACTCTTAAGCTGTATACTTGTGTCTTGGGTTGTACTTGTATGTATTTATAGTTCATCTTTGAACACGTGTTTGTTTAATGTAAACAAACTGTAACTATACTTTTTGTCTTACAGATATGGTATGAAACAGTTCGTCATGAGTTGGTACTTAGTGGCACTCTCTGCTTGGACGCTGTTAATACTATGGCCCCGATACTGGGTAAATGTCACGAGCTCGGTGGTACTCAGGAATGGCAGCATAAGGATGATGTAAGTTTCTTTAAAACATTGGGACATTTCGAATCTCTCGTCACCTGTATTCAATAAAGACGCAATTTTATGCAACCACGCAATCTAATGATTGAATTTGAAATACAATTTTTTTTTTTACTCCAGTAGGTATTAATTTTTTAAATGAATTAAATTACTTCATTTGATATTTTACAGATACTTATGAACAAATATTTACTTAGAGTTTTAGTTGCGTTATTAAAAAAGATGAAAAAGCAAAAAATTTATACCTCATATTACTATTATTTGTGATGAAATAGTTGTTTTTTAATTCATTACCATTTAAATATGTGAAGATTATTGTCTTTATATGTGTAAATCATAAAAAATATTTTGCAGTTTTGTTAGATTTTTTTAAAATAAGTGAACATCATGCAAAAAAATCAAATGATACAATTTTTTTTAAATCTTATTTCAGACTGGAAGTCCTATTTATAACATAGCAGTTGGTATGTGCTTGGGAGTTGAGCGGGCTGCCCTTTGGGAACCATTGACCATGGTCATATGCGACAATCAAGACACAAACCAATGGGATTTTATTCGCTCTTAAGTCATAATACTCTTAACAGGTACCTTAGATAATAAGTATTGATATAATCATTATTATTATTAAGATTTAAGCCAAATTCTTATCGATTCGTGTATCGAAAATATCGTTATAGACATATAATAGTGAATCTAATAAATGTTAGGTAAATTTTACAGGTCATATGAAATAATTATATGCATTTTCGACAAAACTTTGATGAGTAGACATGTTACTATGACCGCCCGTCAAATCCGTCAGTATGAAACTGATTTTTTTAATAATGACAAAATATTTTTTTTATTTTCAAAACCGACTTTGTTCTACGATCTTTACGATATAAATAAAATTGTCAAAAATGTTTGAATATATTTTTTATTTTATATTTCGAATAATAAGAAAAATAACACTTGAAAAAATCTCATTTGCAATTTTTTATATAATTTTTATTTTTATTAAATATAATTCTTATTTTTTATATATATATTTTAAACGTGAAGTATTAAGTTACTAATAATACAAAATGTACCTTCTAGAATCTTCCTTAACACAATATATTGTGCTTTAAGATGTGGTTGTAACAAAACATAATTTTAGTAAGAAAACTACAATTTTTTTGTGAAGTGAAACCCAGTGGCAAATTAATATAGTATGTCAAACTTATCTAGCCCGGTGAGAGCTGCACTGTTACCAGAATTTTTTTTGTGAGAAAAAATAGATAAAACATAACAAGACTGCAAGGATCTCTTACTAATCTTACGACACTTTTTTGTCTACCGATCCAGATAAGTTTGCTACACTATAATCCATAATCAATATTTTTATGTATTTTTATGTAAAAAATTTAGTATTAAGTTTAAAATCGATCTCTCGCAGAATCTAAATTAGTTGACTAGTTGCCTTTGTAATAATGTTTTTCCGAATAATTTCGACAAAACCGTCCCTTTACTCTATGCTTTCCAAACCGTATATCATTATATATTAGTAAGAACATAAAGACATAATTTTTTTAAATCTTCCAATACTTTATAAAAGTCATGCTATTGTCAATACAATATAGCTAGTAAAAAAGAGATTTATTACATAGGTTTATTGTGAAGGTTGCCATATAAATCACTAAGTTCGTTATATGTACATTCAGTTCTATAAATATACATTTTTAAAGTTTCAGAAAATATATACCCTTTCGATTTCAAAAATATGTTTGCACATATCTGTCCTTTTTCTTCTGACCATGATTACAGGATGTAAACAGACTTTTGAAATCGAATGTATACTGAAGCTTTATAAATGTATACATATTTATGCAGCTGGCTGTACATCATCAAGTCTGAGTTAGTTTTTCGAGTCGTTACTTGCATATCAATAATTTATTAAGTTACTGTTGGTGTTGACTGTAGCGACTCTTGTACAGCACATATTGTTGTCTGTTTAGTCAAAGAGAATGTAAGTGATGGTAAATGTGTCAATACAAGTATCACAACAGTCGGAACCCACAGGTAATTTTCCCCCACAGTATTCAAATATAGTCAAACAAGGATATTTGAGCCGGTGATACATTAATGTCACGGCTGGTTTTGTTGTAAAACCTACATGACCATAGACAATAGCTTAAAGGTGACAAACATGACATACAGTACGACGTTGATTGGGGGCGCTACTGAGCTCTTATAATTTAGTTTGTCTTATTCTCACCGGTTCAGATAAACTTTTTGGTCTATAAGGTATTACTTTGATATTGTTATTTAATGTTTAAAATAATACAAATGACAACCACAAGTAATTCATATTTGGTAACACAGAGTACATTTTGTTTAAGTGTTTCAGTTGAAACCCATAATAAGGGTAATATTTACAAGCCTCAAGGTCTTAAGTAAGAAATCCTCCGTTCCTGTTCTGTTGTGAATTTTCTTCTAATACGAGCTATACTTGAAAGGGTTAAATAATAAAGATTTTTTTACAAAATTGCATAAAATGTCCCAATAAATAAAATATGCATCATATTTTTTAGTTTTTGCTAATTATTTTTAACATTACGGTGTATTTATAATAATGTGATTATTTTATTTAGATAAGGTCTTAGTGTTTTTAAGTTTCTTGTAAAATAAGTTATTTTTATAACTTTATTTTGATTATTATTGTTTTTACTATTAAGTTATTTGTGTATATTGTAAATTTTATTGTATATGAGCGAGCGTTGTTTATTTTTTAGCATTAAACATTTCCAAGAAAAGTTCCGCAGAAAACATTCCGTTATATTTAATGAATGACTGATTTTTTTAACTCTGTTTTTATATTTACATAATATGTTTTGTATTCAAATTTTTAACGTAGTATTAGGTGATATAGATATACTGAATTTTGATTTGTTGAATATTTTTAATCAAATACTCATCACAATTATAATAAATAAGTTTATTTTAAATTTAATGTAATATATAAAAAAAATACTGAAGTGACTGTGCGATTTTGATTTAAATATATGTAATCGATGTTATTAATACTGGCTAAAGCATTTATTTCTATTTTTTAATAAGAATACATTTTTAAATACCTTTTTCTTGACATGACAAATGTATTTGTTAATTAATATATTTTATTTCGCAGTGGAAACACAGACTAAACATTTGTAATTAAATTGTCTTGTCCTAAATGATATGATTTTGTATGATCTATGTTTATGTATAAATAAGATGATTTATTATGCATACTCAATATTTTTTACACGTTTTCAGCTTAATATTAAGTCTGTCTTTAGAACAAACATAATTTGTTTTTACTAAGCTTTATACTCAATTTTTGCTAATACTTCATTTATAATATGACTTGTAAGTGGTCGTAAAAGGTTATCTTTGTGTAAATTTCTCACAAGATAATTACACTAAAAGGCCACTTAGTAATTCTGAGTGCGGCTGTGAAATTTTTATTTATACAATATAAAGTTATAGCTGTATTTACAGCTAGTCAATATTATAAACTATATAATTAACCGATAGAATAGATATTCGATTGTGTAGTTGTCTGTGTCTATTATATAATTTAATGTAGGTTTTCGGCGTGGCTTTTGAGCGATGAATTAGTTCGGGCATCGTATGTATTGTATTTTTCAAACATGTTTGCTTGTCGGAACATCGTACGAGTCACTGCGCAGAAGTTAATGTTAGGAGTAGGGCGTAAAGGGATGTAGGGGGAGGGCATTGCGCAGCATGTGCGCAGTTGCGCACTGCGCAGCTGCCAAAAGATTGTAATGTGTATTCAAATATATATTACATTGACCACGAAAGATCTTTGTTTGTCATAATAAAACTGTAAAACAAATATTAATTTTACAGATTTTATCAAGTTTTTTTTTATTCTCGAAGATTCCATAATTATGACATAATTGTGTAGTTGGAGAAATCTAATTTCATCAAATAATATATTAAGCTTTAAATATATTTGAGAGAAAATCCGACTGTCTTATGTGTTTTAATAAAGTTAAGATTGCAATTAAATGTCATCGCTCAAAATCCATGTCGGCGACAATGAATGTTATATGTTATAGTACATAATATAAATTAATTGACTCATTCAATATAATCGTAATCATACCAATTTTAAAAATACCTAGGTTAAATGTTTTGAAAATTGTAATGATTTTGTCGCTTAATGTTTAGGGATTTAATTGATTTACTAGGGCAGCTTTTGTTGTTTATATATGTGTTTTTAAATTTTAATTGATGTTACATATTATAATAAATGGTAAATACTGTGGTATTATGTTTTTTTTTCATATCTGATGAAATATTAAGCATATTTTATTGTAGGCAGTGTAATTAGTACTGAACTGAATTGAACACCAGTTCGTATAAATTCAGGAATTTTCTTCAGGCTATGATATTATAAAGAAGATAGCTTTGCTTACTCATTTGACTACTGCTTAACTTTAGTGACAAAAAGTTATTTCATGTTTTGTGCATATTTAGTTTGTAAATTGATTTCTGTGAACACGCGCAGCAATTGCTATTGTTGATATTGCAAAGCGAAAATTATTAGCTCAGCCGTGTGCTCTGCAATTCTTAAGGCTTTGCTGATTTTGTTTTTGGGTGCGAAGCTACGCGACTTTTTTCGCCTCTGGACATCTTTTTGTTTTTGCTGAGCGAAATAATTGCTTTATACAATTTAATTGCTTTGCGATTATAAAGAGCAAGAGAAATACGAAAACGAAGAGACTGTGTCCCTACCAGCCAGGGCTGGTTTCTGCATTTTCGGCGCCCTAGGTGAAATTATTGCGACATTATTTTTTTTGGTATCGGCTGAAATTTTCGATATGAAGGGTGCCTCCGGGTCACCGCAGGCGCGCCTTTATATCCGGTCCGAGGCGCATGCGCCCCCTTATGGCTGGCGCTGTGATCGGTCGCCCCACCTGGCATCTACCCTAACGCCGCTACTGCCTTTAGGGAACTGCAAAGGATTGGAGCGAGTTGCCGTCGTATGTGGTCCCGTCCAAGTTGGATGTAGGTGTCTTTAAGAGTAGTTAATAGGCATTAACCTACTTCGCTAGCTTGTACCATCTTTCGGCCATATAACTACTCAATATTTGGGGCCCTAGCACGAAAGTTTGCGAGAAAGTCTTAGTAATGGTAAACAAAATTTGTATTACGTTTTTTTTTTGTTTTGTATCGGGCCTAAAGTATACAAATCCCATACAAATTTTAACGTACTTGATGACTTATGACGACTATTCATAATAGACCTCGAGGGATCGTACCCAAGTGTTGCTTTATTTATTGTGTTGTTTGATGCTATAAATTTAGGCTACGTTGGAGCTTTTCTTTGGGGATTAGGAAGAAGGTAAAGACAGAATTAAAAGTGTCTAATCTACTGAAGAGCATTGTTGTGAATTTAAAGAAAATATTATTATATGAGGAGAAAACGAAACTGTTGGTAAGTTTTAAATATCTAGATGATAATAAATAGCCAGGTTCTGTGTTATGACTCATTGTGTTTTGTTAGGTATGCTTAAAAATAAAACAACAATATACTGACATATATTCAACATTTATTTAACATTTAATATTACATAAAAAGGAGGCATTTTTGCCTTAGTCTTCCATTATTTAATGTTCCTACAGAATTGATCTCATTTTAAGAGCGTGAAGTTACTACACAATCAAGATAGATACATCAATCTAAAAATTACAATTTAAAAAAAGCATATCAGAAAATGACAAAGAAAGGTTTAATAGAAAATCATTTACTGCGTGAAATTAGTTTCAAATTGAACATATGAAATGATAAAACCTTTCAGTGTTCATTTTCTTGACATTAATTACCGCAACTATTGTTATATCTGTTCCTTTTAAGACAATACAATCATTGATCAGCTGAATACCTTAACGTTAACATTTTAACGCTGC